ATAATATATTTAGAAGGAAATTTTACTAAGTATTAATAAAGAAAAAAACTCTACTCTTTATATATATTTCTTAATTACTAATAGTAGTCTTTATAAGTGTAATTTAACTTCTAGCTAATTAGAAAGTAGTAAGCGCTCTATAGCAATAGTTAGGTTAAGTCAACTACAATAGTCAGGTCAGCTCAGGTAGGCGAGCAATAGTCGGGTTATCTGCATTCTCGGCCGTTGGGCTCGGAACGTGTCCTTAGTAGGTACATTAAGTAACGTGCCGCCCTACAACATTGTTAGCTCCCTACTTTTAATAGAGTTTTACACTACAAATACTACTTTTTTAAAAAATTATATAATTATAAATATAATATTATATAATAAACTTTTATAATATTCATAAATTATAATAGCTAAATTAATTAAACTTAAATTATAAGATATTTTAATAGCTTATAAGTATTTTAATTTATTTTTTAAAGTTAGAAATTTTTTACTAATAAATACTAAGAAAATATAAATATAAATAATTAATTTAATAAAATATCTAAAAATATCTAAAAATAATATTTACTTTTTTTATATAGTAAAATATATAAAAATACTTTTTTTAAAGTTTTAAAAGCTATATTATAAGTTTAGAGCCCGTCCGGCTCTAAGCTAGTAGCAGTAGCAGCAGCAGAGATCTAAGCGACACAAGAGACGTATATAACTTTGTAGATAGAACTAAGCTAAATATAGAGTTAGAGCTAGAATAGAGGCAGAGAAGGAGATATATACTAACTTGCTAGCAACTCTTTAGGACTAAGACTTAGTTATTATTTTGCTTTTAAAGGCACTAGAGGTCTTTATAGCAGTTAGCTATTAAGCAGAGAATAAGCTAGCGCTAGCTTAAACTTACTATAACTTTCTCTATATTAATAAATTAAGAAGAAGATATAATAATAGCTACTAATAATAATTAGTAATTTCTTAGAGTTAAGCTTAATATAAAGTAGATATAAAGTATATATATATAAATA